CCTGGTTGGCTGCCGGCTACTGCTCCCCGAAACTGGCTCTGCGCCTCGCGGCCGCGGGTGGCGGGGAGCAAAGCCCAGGTACCGGTGCCCGGGGCGCGACCCTGCTTACGCAGGCACCGATTCCACCGGCTCCACCTGCACCGCACTCAGGTGCACAGCTTCCTGGAGTCGGGCGCTTTCCCAGGTATAGCAGACGGGCGTCACTTGCTGCTTGAACCGAGAAGGTGTCTCCCTAGCAGGTACACGGGAAGGGGGTCTGGTGGAGTTGGGGAGCTCTGCCTTGGCGGAAAGGGGCACGCGATGTGGCCCTGTGAATCTGTCAGCCCTTAGGAGCCCGGAGGCACTGGATCCCACAGGGATTTGAGATGAAGGGGTCTCTCACAGCCCCTGTGGTCACCTTAAGCAGTGGGCTCCTAGCATTGGTGGACTGAGACTGGCCACCAAAGACCTCCCAGCCCTCTCCTACCCCTCTTCCAGCAAGCCGGGATCCGCGATGCCTTCCAGAGGGCGGCGCTCCTGGGGCTTCAGAACATCTTTCACTTCTCCTACAGCACTTCTTAAAAAATAATTTATTTATCATTTTTTGAAGTCCCTATAGGGCATGTGTGCTCATCAAAGAGAGACAGAGAGAGAATGAGAATACAAGCCACCGTGTCAGGGACTTGAACCATGGTTAGCCATGTGAGAGTCCAGCATCTTAACCACTGCACCACCTGCTGGACCCTTCCTATAACACTTTTTTTTTTTTTTTTAAAGAGAGATCTTTTGCTATGGGACGCATGCCCTCCCTGGATAGAAAGAGAGACAGAAAGTGGGAAGTCACTTCCCAGGAGGGATGGCCACACCACAATCCCTTCTTCTCATTCTCCTTTTGGGATTTAGAAGGAGGACGCACACAGACCCCACCTGAGTTTCAGGCCACCAGGTCCAGGACTCAAACTGCGGTCTATTTTCTGGGAGTCCAGCAACATGACCATTAGCCATCTACGGGTCTTTTTTTTTTTTTTTTTTTTTTTTTTTTGAGAGGTTTTTGCTACAGGGTTCCTCCGATGGCCAGGAAGACAGAGAGACAGAAAGTGAGAAATCACCCCCCCAGGGGGGATGGCCATGCCACAATCCCTTCTCCTCCTTTCTCCTCTCAGGATCTTGGGCACACACACACACACACACACTCACGCACGCGTGAGCCTGGCGTGAGTTTAAGCCACCGGGTCTGGGACTCGAACCACAGTTAACTACATGGGAGTCCAGCAACATAGCCATTATGCTAACTGCTTGTCCCTGCTGGTCCTTCTTATACCACTTTTAAGCTGGCTCTCACCATCTTCCGCGGCCTCCTGGTTTCAGCCATGGTAGGGAGGCCTAGTGGGATGGGGACAGATGGTGGGAGAAGAAACTACTCACTGCCCTGAGAGGTGGGCAATCTCAGGGGCTCAAATGAAGACACAGAAACGACCTTGCTCGGAGGGTAGAGCTGGACTTGGTCGAGCTCCACATCCTACCAGCCTGTCAGTTTGGTGTCGTGTCAGAGTTGAACTTGGGGACCATACAAAAATACAATTGGAAAAGAACTTCCTGTGTCATGAAGATGTGCTTGTGCAGACCTGTGCAGCCGGGCTTGAGGTCAGGATGGCCCCATGTTGCCTGGAAGGGTGCCCCATTTCCCGCCTCCAGGCCCTTCGGGAAGGAATGCTACAGCCATCTGCAGTGTTAAGCATCAGGAGCATCTTCATTGGTCAAATCTAGAAATGGCACTGACTTTCTGCCTTGTGGAGGAACACACAGTCTTTTTTAAAAAAGGATAAAAGCAGGACCAGCAGGAGGCGTAATGGTTATGTTGCTGAACTCTCATGGAGTTGACCATGGTTCGAGTCCTGGACCCAGCAGCTTACAGCTTAAAACACGCTGGGCACGTGTGCATGTGTTCCCAAAATCCCAAGAAGAGAATGAAGGAGAAGGGATTCCCTCCTGGGGAATGATTTCTTGCTTTCTCTCTCTCTGTCTCTCAGGCAAGCAGACGCACCCTATAGCAAAAATCTCTCTTTAAAAAAAAAAGTACAAAAGCTTGGGTCCAGCAGGTGGTGTGGTGGTTAAGGTGCGGGACTCCCACCTCACTGACCCTAGATTGAGTCCTGGACACGGTGGCTTGAAAATCACACCAGGCACATGTGAATGCCCAAAATCCCAGGGGGAGAAGGGATTGTGACATGGCCATCCCCCCCTCCATCCCAGGGTGGGTGATTTCTCTCCCCCTCAAGTGCAAGTCCCCTATGGCAAAATCCTAAAAAAAAAAAAAAAAAAAAAGGGATAAAAGCTCATTTTCTTAAAAAAAAAAAAAAATTAAACCCACAGATGCTTTTCGGTTTGTTTCCGACATTCGTTTTCTTCTCAAATGTGTTTGTTCCATACTGCAGATAAAAGGGAGGTTACTCCAATGTGTCACAATTACTTCCTTGATACTTGCTGTAAAACTGAGTGGAGATGAGGTGTGACCCCCTGCAAGTCCCTGCCCGGTTGCATTTGAGGTGCGAGCGAGGGACACTGGAACACTCATGCTTCCTGAAGGGTCTGTGCCCTTTCAAGTGGTGGGTGTTTAGGGACTGTCACTAACTTTTTTCAGGATCTCCGCTCTCCTTTTCTCAGGCTTGTGAGATTGTGAGGCCTCACAAATGACAAGCTGGAATAGCTGAATTGTCCCAGCCTAGCAAACCCAGAGGCCCAAGCTCCTGGCGGAAACCTCTTTGTCGTTTGATGCCAAATGCCACCCCCCACTAAATAGAGGTACGTGCTGTTGGGCTAGGAAAAAAGGCCTCCCAAGTCACGTGGTTTAATGTCCACCTCCAGAAACGATGTCTAAGAAAGCCACGAGACGTAAGGACATGGCTGTGTCAGTAAGTCTGGTCCTCGGGGATGCTGAGGTCCTTCTCTGCAAGCGGCAGGAGAGGCATGTGTGGGGTGGAGAATCGCCCATGCGTGCTTTGGGCTTTTACAGGCCTCGAGGTTTCACTGTGGCTTCTGTTCGGGAGCAGTATCTCCTGACACCTTTGCCACTCCGCTCCCCTCTGGCCTGCGACCTCCCACTTGGGCGATGGCGAAACCACCACCATTTCCACAGAGTCTCCTTTGGCTGATCTCTGGTCTGAGGAGACAAGGAAGGTCTTGCCTGTGTGTCCTGTCCCAAACCATCAATAAAAATGTTTCTAACCCTGGTTATTAGAATACAGTTGGGGTTTCCCCAAACGTTGCTTTTGTCCTGCTAAAAATCAAGTAAATGACCCTCAAAAGAAGTATTTCTGGAGAGTACAGTAATACCTTGTTTATCTACAAAAGGCGGACGAAGCCTTTCATGCACTCGGTACTTGAATGTTTTCACATGGGTAAGCCTTTTTAGTACGTCTGAAGGAAAGTCGTAGTTTTTCCAGAACTGAAGCTCCTTTGAGGATGAAGGGAAGATAATGCAGTTGTGGTTGTGATGCTGCAAGAACTGTAGGTGGTTTTATCAAAGGGTCTGTCTGCTGCAGACTGGGGAGTTCGAAGACAATTATTTTTTTCTATGACAAACAGCTGTGGTAGGGATCGGGAACAGGAGGGGGCAGGACCCATGGGTCCTGGATAGCTGTGGGTGAGTTCGTGCACCTGAATGGGGGAGCTGGCACAACCCCAGCCTCCAAAGCACTTTTAGGTATAGGCTGGCGTGCACTTGGGATCAAGACCCGCTTGCAGAGGGTAACCATGTGATGTTGACAACACGACTACCTGGGACTTGAGAGCTAATGAAGAGCTGGCTTAGTTTAGGGGGAAGCCTTTTCTGTGGTAGGCCACTGTCACTAGAATAGTTCTAAAGTCATGGATGCCCAGTCCCCACAGATAAGAAAACAAAAGCTACTAGGCAATGGTGTAGGGCTTTGGCCTCTTTATTTTCTTTTTACAGTTAATTCCACGCATAGAAGACTTCATAAAGCACTGTGGCTCTGGCGATAGCCCGAATGAGCTACGGAGGATGGAGCTGGCTATTCTGGACAGACTGCACTGGAATCTCTGGATCGGGACGCCGCAGGACTTCGTGACTATAGTAAGTACGAGGAGTTTGCAGAGTCTACCGTAGACTCATCCGTCCTTAGGAACAGCTGTTCACAACGTCGGACGGCAAAGCACAGGCGTGCACACCTCCTTCACACATGCACCACTGCGAGTGACCCACAAGGCTCACGACACATGGAAGAGTGAAAATGGGTCTTAAATCCAACATAGTTCCACCAGACTCCCACTTCTAAAGGACATGAACTGTACAAAGATTTTTTTTTTCGGCACTATTATGGTGAGTTTCTCTTTTAAATACACACTGCAAAAATATTGAACTTTCCATTCTATGAATACTGTACATCAATAGCTTTGCTACGCTTTACACACATTCACTTAGCTGTCTTTATTCACCTACACACAATCCTTATTGAGGCTTTAGACCATATTGATCCGGCACTTAAAAAAATATCATACGTTAGTTTGGATTTCAGTTAGGGGAAGGATGGTTATCCTTAAGGATATGATTCTGTTAGTAAGGCAAAATTATGCATTGTGGAAATGTCATGGGGTTTGGGTTTGTTATGAAGCGTGAAGATTAAATCAGAAAAGGCTGTTGTACTATGAGAACTGGCTGTAGTTGCCAAGTTCCGGAGTATCTCCTCTTGTCAAGCAGATGCACGTTACTTTTCTGCTCCCTGTTGCTGTTTTTCAGAGTTGAAACATTGTCATTTAGGTACTTTGGGCTCATAATGATCTTGTCACAAAGCAGGCTCTCTTTTCTCTCCAGGGGTGGAGCTCAGCTTGGCCACAGAATGGGCATGAAGCTTTAAGCCCATCGTGCGGCCATGGATGGGAATGAAAAGGGTTGGGCAACATCTGATGCTCCCTGATGAAAATTTAAATTGTTTGCACTTTTGGTCATTGATATATGAAAAGTATGGGGTTTTCTGTCCTAACATTAAAAACCATAGTCTCCAGTTCCATGCCCTGGTGGTCCTGAGCTGGCCCCGTGGGGTTGAGCTGCTGCCTCAGAGGAATCCTTCCCTCCACGTCGCGTCCCTGACCAGGCAGCTGCAGCACTGTATGGCGGGCCACCAGCTGCTGCAGTTCAAGGGCTCCACACTGGCCTTGGTCATCATCACCTTAGAGTTGGAGAGGCTCATGCCCGACTGGTGTACTCCTATATCTGATCTGCTAAAGAAAGCACAGGTAGACATCAACTTTGCCCCAGACCAGGCCCTCAGTTTTGTCCCTTTAGCTTATGTATCTGTCCCCCAAAAGGTACCCATAGATCTTCTTGACCCTTGTGGTTGTCAGAAGATGCTTTGGCCATGATAACTCTGGGAAGAGCCTGCCTAAGGGCTAGGCTTCCATCTTTGACCATGCGCTATGGACTAGGGTATGGAACACATATTCCCTCACTGGACCAATAGGGGTGGGGTCCTTTGACAATGAGAGAAACTTTATCTCAACGGTAGCCCTTGTAGCCACAAAGATGGGGGAGGGGGAACATTTTCAGCTCAGGAGGCAGCAACCCTGACCTTGATATTGGGGAATGTAAATTCTAGACCCCTTACTCTGCATGAGTATATGGTGCTAGACTGGGGTACCATAAGGCAGGCACTTGTGGTGGGTAGCAGAGTCAGAATCTCTCAGGACAGGGGCCAGCAGTGGTTAAGGTATTGGACTCTCACGTGGTCGATTGTGGTTCAAGTCCTGGACCCAGCCAGCTTGAAATTCATGCCAGTCACATGTGCATGCATGCCCAACATTTCAAGAGGAGAATGGAGGAGAAGGGATTGTGGCACAGTCATCCCCCCCAGGGGGTGACTTCTCACCTTCTGTCTCTCTGGCGAGCACACATGCCCTATAGCAAAAATCTCTAATATAAATGAATGAGTGAAGGAATGAATGAATGAATCCCTCAGGACATACAGGTTAGGATGGAATGCATCGTTAGACTAATGATGGTTTTACTGAGGTTGGTGATGGAGGTCCCTGAGATGGTAGGGTTAATGCCCCTAGCTTGGATAGTTGAACCTTCCTGAAGTTGCTTCATGCTAACTTTTGGCACTGTGCAGCCTATTCCTCAGAAGGTAAGTGGTTCTGCTTCAAGGATGGCCACTCTGTTTCAACACTGAGCAGTACGGAGGCTGCAAGAAACTTGTGAAGCAGCAGCTGAGAAGTTTCTAGTCGGCCTCCTGCACAGACTTTCTGTCGCACCTGCCCACCTGCCTCCATGCCTTCAGAGCCCAGTGGGAGCCCTCCTGGCTTGGAGTCTATGAATTCTTTGGCCTTATGAATCCTGTAACAAGAAAGGACGAAAGTCCCACAGAGCAGAAGGAAGTAAGGGGGCAGGGCCGGGGCTGGATCAGTAGAGGTAAAGGTGGCCTGACAGACCTCGGACCTCTCTCCCCTCAGTCTCCCCTGGGTCTGAAGCCAGGGACAGTGAATAAATGCTCCACACGCAACCTGTCTGTCCTTCCTTCTCTGGTGAGGGCTGGTATTGGTTCAGGGCTGAAGGGCTAGGGCTGGTCCTGGCTGGTGAGTCCTTGTTGCTGTTCTCGCCAGAGCAGACCAGTCCTTCCAGACTCATCCCAAAACCATGTTCAGTGTTTCAAGTCCCAACTACCCAGCCTGTTGCTCCCAAAGTGGGAGTCTCTCCAGGTAACGTGACCGTGAAGTGGCCATGACTTCTGTCTCTTCACAAGCGCTGGGTTATAAACTATGCTTTGTTTAAATGAACAGTAACTTGAGCAGGCTTTTAGCATCTTTTCCTGTTACTCTTAAACTAGTTCATTAGTTGAACTACAGGAGCTGTACACAAACGGGTAGGTATTAGAGGGTGGCACTGTGATGCAGAGGTGCAGCTCTGAGCTTTTTGTTGGGACAAGCAGGTTCTGAGGCCAAGCCTGCGCCGGCCAGAGTGCTGCCAGGAGGAGGAGGTCTCCGGCCTGGCTGTGAGCGACCAGCAGCTGCCTCTCTGAAGCCACGATACTATAGCACCATTCTCTGAGCGGGGAGTGCAGCTGGCAGGGATGCCAGCTGGAGCCGCTGAGGATGTGAAGGACGGAGCTGCACATGTACAGGTGGTTTGTGAAGTCTTCGCACTCTGAATGGTTTTTTTGTAAACATGCTAAGCCACTGGGGGTGGGGGGGGTGATCTGTTAGGTGCGAGTGGTCAAGGACTAGCTATACTATAATCGTGTCTATTTATAGACTCAGTATACATCTCTCTTTTTTAATACAAATTTACTCATTGAGCTTTTGTACAAATGAACTCGAATTGCTCACAGCCCTGACTGAATCTCATTTTGCATTTATGGAATACTGTGTGCTTAGACCCGTTAGAGTCAAATAGAGGAGGAATGTTATCTTCTGGATCCTACCAATAACTGTCCTCTAATCCAGCACCCATTTTCTACATTGAGATGCTGAGGGTGCATGATGCTCATGGCCACGGTGCCCAGCAGGGGCCACAACCGCCCCTGCCTCCTCCCTTTGGTGTGAGTGGGCATTGCAGTGGGTGGGGCAGGAGCTCACCCAGAGAGCTGGCACCAGCTTGGGCTGGCTCAGGCTTTGGGGAAGAGTTGAGGGGCACTTGGACCTCTTAATCAGGTGGTTCTGGGTATAAGTGGGGCCCCATAGCCAATTCAACTCCTAGTCCTTGGAGAAAGGCAGAGGGCGAGCCTCAGTACTGGGGAAGGACGGGCTCTGCTGCTCCAGCGTCTGGAGATGACATACGGCTTCTCTGGGAAGCCCACCTGTGCATCGCTGAGGCACCACGCGCCAGCACGAGCCTGCCTGGGCTCAGCTCCCACCCTACCCTGCTCGAACACTTCTTCTGACACGGAGACTCACATCCCACCTCAGCCCAGAGACCGAGGATGCCTGTGGGGGAGGAAAAATGGACACAACACATCCTCCTTTAGTCCACCCCCACCGAAGGGCATGGATCGGTGAAGGACTGTGGCTGCAGAAGATGGAGATGGGACAAAGTTGAGAGGCCGGTGTGAAGTGGGGAATGTATATGGACCAGAGGAGGCACAGGGCAGGGGAGGCTCATGGGCTTTGCTTACACTCATCCAAATAGTACCTCTCCAAAAAGGTGAGCCGATTTGTACAATGTCCCCTCCACCCCGGAGCTTCCTGGAGAGACTGCTCCCCGCTACCTGCCCTCCACAGGTAGAGTTCAGCTATATGTCATTAGGGACGTCTGCATACTGGTCTCCCTCCCCGCCTGGCAGCTCCCCAGCTTGAGTTCCTGTTTTCTATTTTGGTCTTCCCAGAATCTACTCAATGCCCAACAGAGAACGCTCCTCAACAAATGGACCCATTCACGTGTCATCACTACCTTCAACCACTGGCCTTCCCGTCCCCAGCCAAATACTGCCTGCCCCCCAGGACTCCCTACCACTACGAAACCTCGTCTGGCCCACCAGCCCGCATCATCTGTGTATTTAACAATGACCACACTGCCACTGTTTCTCCATCTTCTCACTGTGATGCCGAAAAACAGCTGTAACTCAAGAATTAAGGGGACAGACTACTCACGTTCAAGCCCCAAGGCCTCCAGCCACTCACAATGTGACCTTGGACATTTAACCTTTCTGTGCCTTGCCAACCAAGTAGGGGAATAATGGTACGTAATGATGAGATCAGGATGAGGGTGAACGGGGTCAGGCACGCGATGCACTCCAGAGCCACGCCACACAAGCACGACGTGGCAGACCCCACGTCGAGCCTCCTTGGTGAGAACATGAACCTTCTGAGGGCAGGGTGTGCCTTCCCGTGTCCAGCACCCAGTCGCCCAGTGAAGATTCATGAGCACAGGGGGCATCTTCTCCACCCTCACTGTGACACCCCCTCTATTCCACTCCCGCCCCAGAGTCTTTACAAAGGCCTGTAGCAGGATTTACAATTAAAACATAATTTCCACAGAAGTAGCTGACCCTCACAGAGTTCACAGAAAAGGCAAGCTGTAGTTTACCACAGTTGTAGTAGATTAATAGGCTCAGAAAACTTGTTACATCAGAAAAGCTACTGCCCAAAAAAGACACCACAAAAACTCAAAATAAATGCAAAATTTAATGGGAAAAAAAAAAAAGAGTACAAAGTGAATGGAGAGGAACAAAAACAGTCAATGAATGAGGGAGTAAATGAATTAACACGTGAAGCAGTTTTTAGGAAAGCATGTTAACATAACAGACTAGCAAACCACACTTCCCTCTGGCCTCTTATCCAGTAACAGGAGCCCCCCCTTAACAGGGAACCCACAAATAGACATGTACAAACACATACGCATCTGTCCACACAATGACAAACCACCTAGCCATGTCCCGGGAGGCCATACATCCTCTGGTGTATGCCCGCCAACCTGGTGCTAGCTAGTAGCGGCATCCGCTTTCTCTCTCTCGAGTCCCGGTTTGGACAATAAATTATAGGGTGACTCCACCTCAGTCCAGCATGGTTCGTGCTGGTCAATGCCCATACATTCCCAAATGACAGCCCCAGTAATGCCAACAAATGATACTAAGGAAGAAAGCAAAGGTAGACCAGATCCTGCAGAGTGGGCTCACTGCCATGAGGAGTAGCTTGTTAAATAACGAGGAGTTTTAGGCTCACCTCGTGCACCAAGGATTAATTTGCTCTTAGCTAAAGGTGGCAACACTCCCAATACAAACAGCAGAGGGAGGTGCAGTGAAGCTCATCGGAGTGGATGGGACCTGCAGGTAGCTCAGACCCTAGGAGATGCAAGTCTACTGGGTCCCCCCAGAGATGCTCTGACGTCTTCGGCCTGCAGGTCATCATACTTAAATACGGCCTTCAGTCTGAGTGTGGCTGAGGCTGCAGCGGATGGGCGGCAAAATCTGCCCACTCCATGGTCTCTACCCACGATCTAAGAGTCCTTATTTCTTATTTAACCAGGGAACCTGGGCCATCAAGACTCACCTTTGGGAATATATTAGGTGAAAGAAGCTATCTTAAACATCATACGTTGACCCAACTGAATATACGTTCAGACCATAATTACCTTAAAGGTGAGCAGCTCCCAGTTCACGCCTGCCTTAGATACACTGGTTTACTCTTAGATACCCACACTGCGGCTTTGATTTCAGTCATAGCCACAGGTGGACAGGTGGATGCGCTGTGACGCGAATAAAGCTTAATTTTTAGGGTGCCTTCTAAGGCCTTGACCTAATTTTATATCCACAGTCTTTAAAAAAAAATAAAAACTTCCTAAATAGTTCAAGTTGCCAGCCCCACAACACCTGGATCCATCCTGGTCATGGCATAACACTTGGCGGATTTTCACTCTGAGCATCAGTGAAACCCGCTCTCGCCCTGGCGAGTGGAGCCCCTCACAGATAAAGCCTGCCTCTTTCTGGCCAGGCCTCAGCGGACATACCTGGCTCACCCCTCTGCCTCGCTCTGAGTGGAACATCATCTCAGGGGAGGCAGAAGGCCAGACTCGGTTCTGAAAAATGAAAATAAGCAGACCAGGCAGAAAGGGAAACAGGGATGGCGGGAAGATGGAGGGAAGATGAAAAACTACCAACCCCAAACAAAGGCGAGCACAACCTTGGGGCTTCCGGTAGGGACTGTGCTGGACTGCGAGCTCCCGGGGGGGAGGCCGCACATTCCTCTGGAGCCCTGTGCCTGCACAGAGCTGCGTCAACATTCAGGGAACCCTTCCTTTCCCTGTTCGTCCTCTCCCATCCTGCCAGGCTGCACTGTCAACCCCGGCACTCGCGGGGGCTTTCGCTCTGAGTGGAACATCATCTCAGGGGAGGCAGAAGGCCAGACTCGGTTCTGAAAAATGAAAATAAGCAGACCAGGCAGAAAGGGAAACAGGGATGGCGGGAAGATGGAGGGAAGATGAAAAACTACCAACCCCAAACAAAGGCGAGCACAACCTTGGGGCTTCCGGTAGGGACTGTGCTGGACTGCGAGCTCCCGGGGGGGGAGGCCGCACATTCCTCTGGAGCCCTGTGCCTGCACAGAGCTGCGTCAACATTCAGGGAACCCTTCCTTTCCCTGTTCGTCCTCTCCCATCCTGCCAGGCTGCACTGTCAACCCCGGCACTCGCGGGGGCTTGTAAACCCACAGGAGCCCGTAGAATCAATGCTGCTGGTACTTCCTCATGCAGCTGAAGGCGGACAGTGCCTCTGCCACTCGTTTTCCCTTAAATTGGCGACATACAGCAGACACCTTCATCTCTCTGCTTTGTGACTCAGCTAGGAAAGAAGAAAAGCGTCCTCGAGGTAACAGCCTTTCCCTCACTGAACACTCTTCGCATTTGCAATATGCAGGATTGGCTTGGGAGTCTTCACTGCAGTCAGACACTTCACACACACACACACACACACACACACACACAGGCACACAGAGTTGGTCCCCATTTACAGGTAGCACCTATGGGGTTCAGAGACCACGGCTTCGGCTGCTGTTCCATTTACATTCACAGTAAAAACTGGACGTGGTCTTGTTCCACTTTCATCCGGAAAGAAATTCCAAACACTGTCATTGCAGGAAGTTTATTACCCCCCTCTCCCTATGTATTATAGGGGTACTTCATACATAAGAAAGGTTTAGAGCTATTTTTAGTTTAAAAAAAAAAATCAGAGACTCTGTGTTACTTATGAAAATAACGGGAGAGGATATTATTTGTCTTTACTCTGGTGCCAAAATAAAAATCTAGTTATTATTGAAATTAAGCTCTAGGTTAGAAAAATTAAAATGAAGGGGAACTGGGCAGATTTTACGGCATGGGATCCAGACCATGCGGCTGCACCTACGGCACCACGTGAGTCGCCATCCTGACACGGCACAAATGAGGCCCAGCACCGCCAGCTGGGGCCACACAGAACTGCTCCGTCAAGGAATAGTGACACTGTAAATGGAAGACCAGCCACTGGCTCTGAAAAAAACAAACCTCGTCAGTTTTGGATTCCAGCATTCATGGCTTTTACGAGTTTGCAGAGAGAGGGGTACCTACGGCACCACGTGAGTCGCCATCCTGACACGGCACAAATGAGGCCCAGCACCGCCAGCTGGGGCCACACAGAACTGCTCCGTCAAGGAATAGTGACACTGTAAATGGAAGACCAGCCACTGGCTCTGAAAAAAACAAACCTCGTCAGTTTTGGATTCCAGCATTCATGGCTTTTACGAGTTTGCATAGAGAGGGGTGGCCCGCCCGGCCAGGGGGCAGCCTGGGGCCGGGATGGGACTGGGGCAGGGGCAAAGCAAAGCTGTAAACACTGGAGTCTGTACCAGCTCCCAGTCCGTCCTCACACCATGTTATGGGAGAAGGGTCACAAGGTGTAACTCAAGCAACTTAACACATGAAAGTCTAAAGTCCGCTCTTGACATGTAAGTCTGTGCGTGCGTTAACTGAAAAATAAAAATAAAACAAACAAAACAAAAGACACACATTAAAAGATAGGCAGACCAAATCAAACAGAAGCAAAAGACAGCAAGGTGGACACGGGGAAAGGGCAGTCAGTGTGGCATTTGTGACGAGCAAAGCAGAGAATTCGCTTCAGTTTGTGGCGTCCCGGGTTGAGGGTCAAGATCTGATTGAGAAGTAATTTTGCAAAAATGGATTAAAATGTGAAGAATAAGGACAGTCAAACCATTCCACTAAATGGCCATGAAAAACACCACTGCTCCCACCCCTCAAATGCTCTCCCGACTCACCCTATTCCCTCGACCCCCCCACCTGACTCCAGCCTCCACATGGGGAGGCCCGCCTGGGAAGAGAGTTCCCTCTCCCAGAGGCCAAACTGACTGAGGCTTTCTGGCGTGTCCAGCAAACAGAGAAAACCTGTTTCCAAGGCCCAGGCCTGGAGAACACTCCAAGGAGCCCAGGCCTGATAGGAAGAGCAGGGAGACCGGACACCAGTAACCAGCCCCATTCTGAGAGCTGTGCTAACACCCTGCTGGACTGATTGCAACCTGCCGAGGGGCCCGCAGGCCAGACTTGGCCACAGGGCCTGGCCTTCAACTTCCGGGTGGCTTCTCCACAGCTTATCTCTTGGGGAGGGACCCTGCCTGCCTACCTCTTCCTTATCAAGACGGCTAGGGCCAGCTCACTGTGGATGCCAGTACTCGGGTCATAGCCCTCCACCTCCAAAAGAGCCACCAGCTTGAAACCCACACAGACTCTAACCCATAGATCCCCAAGCCAAGAGCTAGATGCGGGGCCAGGACTGGAAGCAAGTGCAAAGGGCAATCGTGTAGTTGAGGGGAGTGGGGGCTAGGGCCCTCCCCGGGCACAGGCAGAGGCTCGTCTGTCCCAGCTGTCAGCCATGGAGCACCGGGATGGAGGAGACTACGAAAAGGAGATGAGCCTGTCCCCAGGCAGAGGACAGGCCTTAGGATGAGAACTGACATCAATTCCTAAGCGCCTGGTTCTGTCCCACTGGTCTCCCCCAGGCAGAAGCCATCTAAGGTTCTCTTTCTCGCTATGCACCTGTGTGCACGTGTGTGTTGCGAGACATGTGCCAGAGTGTGATTGTAATGGGGCAGGAGAGACCGCGTGTGCGTGAATGTGCATGTTAGGGAATGAACAGAGGGTTGGGAGGGTGCTATAGCCAGAAGCAGCACCCCAGGGCCACTGCTGACTACATACTGGACAGCCCTAACCACTTGACTCCACTGCCACCAAGGAAAGGAGGGCTTGGGCGCTCACATCCCCAATATTCCAGAAGAACATAGAGCGCAGGGGTCAGGAACCTGTTTGGTTCCTGAGCTGGCAAGACAAGGATGGTACCTGATCCAGGTCAGGGGGAGGGAAACCCAGGAGCAGATGAGACTCCCCAGAGTGGGACTGGTGGGGGACTCTGAGTGAAGTGGGCTGGGGAGAGATGCCAGGAGCCGGGCATCTGGGCTCCAGCTCAGGGTATGGAGATGGGCTATGAGAAACACCATGGAGAAGTGGCTCAGAGTTGCCCCCATCTGGCCAATAAGATGACTGCACTCCTGCAGGTGGAAACACCTTGCCCCTGAGTCCTCCTCCTCCACTTTCTGCAGGAACAACTCCGGCCTCTACCTCAGGGGCACCACAGCCCGGCAGAACCCATAGAGCCCCTCCAGGGAGCCACCATCCCTTCCTTCAGCCCCATGTGCCTTCAAAACAGCAGCACAGTGATCACAGTGTGTGTGGGGCCGTGCTGGCCAGGGGCTCGAGTGCCCGCTGTTCTCAGGTACCACCTGCCAGCCCCCGCCACAGAGGCAGAGGAGGCATGCACCACGGCTGCCCCAGCAGCCACTGCAGAAGCTTCTGGAACCTGGCTGGCAGTGCTGACATTGGCAGGACCGGTCTTTCTCTTGGCCTGAGACCCCTATAGTGACACTATCTTGGGCTACGCCTGGCTGCGTGGCCCAGTCTCAGCATACTGCAGCAGGGTCCCCGATACTGAGGGGGAAGACAGCAAAGGGGAGATGAGGATGGGGTGAGAGGGGCGAGGCAGACTCGAGCTCAAGATCTGTGCTAGAGAGAGTGCATGAATGTGAACGAGACAGAGACCCAGGCTGTGAGAGCTCCAGACCAATGAAAGAGAAAGCAAAGGAAAATGGAGTGATAAAGTCCGGAGAGCCAGTTAGAGAGTGCAAAATAGCAAATGAGCCAGAGAGGGCGAGAACAAAGTGGAGGGGAGGGCCCGGCAGCAGAGTGAGCAGCAGGAGGGAGAGGAGGCGGCGCAGGGAGGGAGCCCACCACCTACTTCTTCTTGTCCTTGTCCTTCCGCAGGGGCTGCTGTGAGGTGGCGTGCAAGGCCTGAGACTGCAGGGCCTCCACGGCGGCCTTCCTGCGGTTGAAGGCGCTGGTCTCCTCATCCAGCTCCCGGCGCTTCTCCTCCACCTTGCGCTTCTCCTCCTGGTGGACGCGCTTCAGGTGCTCGAACTTCTCGTGGAGCTGGGAGTGGAAGATGGAGGGGTGGGCTTCAGTGCAGGGTGGGGGGATAAGGTGCCCAGGCCCTCCCCCCACTGCCAGCCTGGCTCCCCCTCCTCCTCCGCACACCCCAAGCCGGCACTCACCTCCCTTTCCTTCTCCTTCAACTCCAGCTCCGTCTCCTTCACTTTGTTGACGAACATCTGCCTCATCTCCTCCTCCTTCCTCTGCAGCTCGCTCAGGAACTCCTTCCTCTTGGCCTCGTAGGTCTCCTGTAGGCTGTGGAGACGCAGAGAAGGCCCATGGGGTTATGGCAGGACAGAGCTGGGAGAGTCACAGAGAGTCACGTGGGCGACGGGTGTAAGCGCGCTGGGCTCCCCAGAGCTTCTGGCTGGCTTGTTAGGCCTGGAAGGCAGATGGCTGCTCGGCAAGTTGTGGGGCCAGCATGCTCCCTGTGCAGGCAGTCACCTGAAGGGCTGGCTGTCACCGTCACTGTCCTGGAAGCCCATCTCCTCCAGCTTGCACCGCCGGTAAAGCTCATAGTGCCGACTATGGGTCTGTTCTCGGAGGTCCTCCATGTTCACCCGGATCAGCATCTCTCGGAGTTTCACGAAGTCACAGTGATTCTCGTTCTCCACTGAAAGCAGAGGGCACGTGGGGCGTCGGGCAGGCACAGGGGTGGGAGGGGACGACAGAGCATGAGACGTGGTTGGGATGCTGGCAGCAGCTCCGCAGTCAGGGCGGGCACCCGGGTGGGTGGTGTTAGGCAGCGTGCAGGGAGGGGAGTGGCCAAGGTGCTAGCAGCAGCTCCAGAGTCAGGGCAGGCACCCAGGTGGGCAGAGGGTGTGGGGGCCAGCACATGGGACAATGGTCAGGTGCTAGAGGCAGCAGGACAGCGATAAGTTGAGGCCCTGGCTGGGCACGTGCTCTCCCTCCACACTCACCCTGCACCACTCCCCACGGGTACTGCCGCGCTCGGACCAGCTTGTTCCCCACCTTCACCTCCTCGGTGCTGCCCACCACGGCAAAGGGCAGGTGTGCCTGAAAAGGACCCAAGTGCGCAAGAGCCAGAGCTGATGCGGGCTAATGTCAGCCTCTTCCTCGCAGCCCCTGGGTCCAGAGGGAGGGCTCCCAGGCCTGAGCAGAGGCCCTGAAGCAAGATGCTCACTTCCTAGCTCTCTTCTGAAGAAATCTGGACCCTCGATCAGGTGAGTGGGCTGAAGCCCTGACCCCTCTCCCTGGTGTTCCCAACTCTCAGGTCCTGAGTGTCGTTAGAGCCCCTTGGAAGGACCTGTGGGCCTGGCTCCCTTCCTGGTTCCCAAGTCCCAGTTCCAAGCCTGCTCACTCTGAGGTTTCAGGTTCCCACCCTGAGTCCAGATCCATGACATGTAAACCCAGGATCGCTCCAGTGTAGGCCCAATGCCCGGTTCTCCTGTGCCCTGCCCACGGGGTGGAGGACTGGCCACCTCCAGATGCCCACCCACCCATCCTGGACAAGCTAAGGTGGGAAACCTGGTCGACAAGTCTCCTAGGGCTGTGTGAGATACGGGAGAGCTCTGCGCCCTCCAGCCCAGGAGCCCTGAAGCCCTTGGCCAACACTCACATTCATGACCGCGTTAATCTCCGCAACAGCCTCGTCGTCTGTGGGAAACTGGTAGATCTGGACCCCGTTGCTGACCAGCTCACCCATGATCTTGATCTTGAACTTGTGGAGCTCGCTCTTGGAGATGGTATCAGCCTTGGCGATGATGGGAATAATGTTCACCTGCGAGGACCAGGGGAGGGGACAGCAGGTGGGTGAGCTATTGCAAACAATGACCCCCTACTGTGGGCTGTCCTGCCCAGTCCACATCCCGGGGTGGAGGGGTAAAAAGCCAGAGAAAGGGAGCTGCTCCTGTGAGAACAAACCTAGTCACCTGTGGCCATTCGGATGGCTGTGACAATTGGCTGCAGTACTTCCTACAGCCCTGGTTACCCCAGACCACCAGCCAGCCCTAAGCTGGGTCCCCTGGGCATAACCGGCTTTGATCTCTTGTGCTCTGAAGGTCTAACTGGGCTGGGGCCTGGCAGAAGCAGTGGCGGGGCTGAGCTCCCACCAAGCAGGGAAGATGGCCCATCAGCACAGCCAAAGGAAGAGCTCGGTCTCCCAGACCAACAATGGTTACCCCATCCTTCACAGTGAAAATTCACTGCTAAGGCAGGGAGGGCAGCCACGTGAGGACTGACAGGTGACTTGACTGTGGGGGTCATGCCTTTCAGGACCCCCAACCCTTCCTGTCATTCCATGAAGCTGTCCTCACAATCTCCTCACTCACATCCCAACTCTGGGGCTTAACTGTCCTCTCCCTAGAGGGCTCAGAAGAACCACAGAGGTTCAAGGTTCTTGTCAGGGAGGAAAAGGGAAGTGAAGAGAGGAACCGGGAATTAGGAATGAGAGAGAGAACACGAGGAGAGGGGGTTGAGGGAAGGCGGATGCCCTGGGGAGATGGCCAGAGGGAAGTGGAGAGAGGTAACTCGAGGAAGAAGGGGGGAGGAGGCTGCAAGGCTGAGGACGAGAACTGATTCAGCTAGAAGGAAGAGGCTCGGGGCTGGACTCTCCTCTGGAGAAAGAGCCCAGGGTGCTGGGGGACTTTGGGACAGTAGAGACAGATGCAGAACAAAATACAGAGAGAACCAAGCCAGGCAGGCGGTCTGCAAGGCCCCGTCGGTCCCCGAGGACTGCGTGGACAGTCACACTGCAGCCACCACATCCCTTCCCAGTGGAAGACCACGACGCCCGTGGAACAAGTGCCAAGGGACGTACCTTGCTGTCCAGTTTCTTCATGGTCACCAGATCCAGGGACTTCAGGGAGTGCCCTGTGGGCGTGATGAAGTAGAGGCAGACGTGGATCCTCGTGTCATGGTAGTCGAAGAGTGAGCGGCGGATCTTCAGCTCCTCCTGCAGGTAATTTTCAAACTGCGCATCGATGTAGTCGACGATAGGCCTGTAACTACAGACAGCTCTATCACCTAGGAGGCGGGCGGCTGAGCAGGGCCTGTGGGCTCAGGGCCAAGCCAGGCTGCCCTGGCCCTTCCTCCCCAGGGACAAACCACTTCTGCCTGGGGAATCCCTGTGTGGGCCCCTGGAAGGAGCAACTGGTCAATGAGTGCCCACAGGGCCTCAGATGTTCCCCCAAGAGGTCCTCCCCTGGCCCCCTGGAGTGCAGTGCAGGGCAATGGGGGTGGGCAGGCGTGCTCGGGCAGTCTCAGCACCAGGGCCGGTGGGGTGAGACGGGATGAGGTTGGGTGAGCTGTCCTTCCCGCCTCTTGCCTCTCATCCTTATTGATCTGGTCCCCAAAGCCCACGGCGTCCACAATGGTCAGCTTGAGCTGCACGTTGCTCTCTTGGAGGTCGTAGGTCTGGGGCCGCAGGCGCACACACGCCTCATGGTGACTGGCTTCCTCTGTCTCGAAGGTCGTGTTGAAGAGTGTGTTCATCAGTGTGGACTTGCCGATGCCAGTCTCCCCTGGGAGCGGGGACAGGAGGGGGGGACATAGATGTCAAAGGCTGGAGTAGGGCTGTCCTTGGTTGGTGGCTAGGCCAAGTGGGGCTCGGGCACCCTCAGTCCCCATACGAGAGAGGGGCAAGCCACTGGCTCTATCCTCCCTGCCCCCATTCCCAGGAACTAGCCTTTCCTCAGTGGTCTCAGAACGAATGTGGAAGAAAGAGCCAAAAGGTGGACTCAGACACAAGACATGGCCAGGCAGGGTATGACACGTTTCCTCAGGGAGTGGGTAAGAAGCAGAGCTGGGCAGGTGTGCACACACCACTGGACACGACTCCGCTGACCTCAGTGGGGTCCACCTAACAGCCTGTTCTGCATGGCAGCCTCCCAGGAAAGGCTCACAGGGGCCAGCAGCCACCACATGCCCTGGCAGCTCCAGCTTCATGACTGGGGGTGTGTGTGTGTGGGGTTCTGCACAGGCTCCTTCCGAGAGGCCCCTGCAGAGGGTCTGAAAGAGCACTTTGTGCCCTCTGTGAGTTCCAGACCTTGAGGCGCATGGAGCCCCTAGAGCCTCCCTGTGGGGGCATGTTCTTTCAGATGTTTTCCAGAGCTTTTGATACATACCATGGTGGCATCTTGCCTACCACAGTGTCCTTGACACAGAAGAATAAATGTGTTCATTAAAAAAATTATTTATTAATTTATTAGTATTACTTTTTTTTTTATTTGACCAGAGAAAAGGAAAATGAGAAAACAAACCGCCAGATCTGAGACTCAAATCCCTGTCGGTTAAGTGGGAGTCCAGTGCTTTAACCACCATGCCACCTGCCAGCCCCACAGGTAAGTGTGTTCTAAGCAAACAAATGAACACATCAGTCGACACCTCTGTGATGAGCACTGGCAGCTGACGAAGCACTGCCACGCGCCTAATTCTGCTGACTCTCCGTGATGGCTCTGAGTCAGGCCTTGGCTCCAACTCTCTTTGACCCTGGCAGAGACACTAACCCAGCCCTCACCCTTCCATTTTCCCCTACCTGGGAAGTCACCTGGCAGCACAACCCACACCCAGGGCAGCAGCGCCCCCTCTCCCAGCGGGTTCCCAGCCATCCCTGAGGCTGGCCCGGCCGGGCCCTGTCACTCACCCACACAGAGGATGTTGAAGCTGAAGCCCTGAGTGACCGACTTGCTGACCAGTTGGTCAGGGAGACTGTCGAAGCCCACATGGCCGCCCAGGGAGAGGCTCCGGGGCTCTGGCTCTGTGTTCTGCCAAGAGTGGAAAAGCAAGACAGTGAGACCCCTGGGGAGAAAGGCCAAGCTGGGGGACGCTAAGGCTGAGTTAGAGCAGCTGTGCCCCTCTTGACTGCGTTCTCAGCAAACCTCAGGATACACCTGAGTGCACCAGAGCTCAGCGCCCGGCCATGTTTCCACACAGGAGCCCAACAACCCTTGGGGAGTCCCGCCTTTCATCCTGTGGCTCTGCTCCACCTGGATGGCCAGCAATGACCAGGAATGC